TGAACCAGCGACCTAAGGATACCTGTTATGATCAATCTACAGTCCTCCGCTCTACCAACTGAGCTATCGAAGGGAGCGAATGTCCCTCAATCATCCATCCTCTACATGGATGCTGGAATTGATGCTCAACCAAAGTTTTTTGGTTGGATTGGCTGCCTCGATCTCCTGAAAATATCGTTGTCCACTTTTACATAATGGCAAAGCAAGTTGTGATGAAGTCTGACACAAACCACCATGCATTGTGAGGCGTTTGGCAGTGTTCGACACTGCACAGGTCTGGCTCATCTTGATGACAATGATTACCTTTTCTACAAGCAACCTTTTTTCTCCAACAAAATCATGCATTAATGTCAAACTAACCTCTTTTTATTCTAAATGGTCACACATCGGACACTGATGAAAAGTCCATCCTTCGAGCCAGAGTTGATACTGCGACCTAAGGATACCTGTTATGATCAATGTACAGTCTTCCACTCTACCAACTGAGCTATCAAAGGGAGCAAGCAATCCTCAGTTGTTCAGCCCATGCATGGATGCTGAAACTGATTTGTAACCAAAGTTTATTTTGCGACAACACAACATAAAACATTCATGACAAATTTACAATCAGAGTGCAGAGCTGGGACAGCTGGCTAGTCTCTGTCGAAAATTAAGAGATTATCCAACATCTCTAAAGCTTATGGACATATTGTTGACACAGTTCCCACACATAACTCCTCTTAGAATCACAAAAAGTCCTTTGTACATCTCAGTTCATGTTGTGAATAAACAAGATACTAACTGGTTGCTTGTCTGGATCATTTTCTACCTTAGAACAAAAACACCTTATGTTTACGTTTCAAGACACTCGCAGCAGATTATATTCGGTTTCTTAACACTTGTTACCATGTCGTTATAACAGTGAAACTACGATTTGCATGGCACATAGGTTACTGCATTCTGCATCCCACTTGCCTTCAGTGTGTATTTGAGGTGGTGCATGAGAAAAGCAATGGTGACAGCACTGCAGCGACTTCGGCCCTGCCTGGACACTATCAGGACACGAGAGCCCATGTTGATGTGTGAATCTGAAAACAAGAGCATAGATGGCTATTTCACTTCACAGAAAATTGCACTATCAAGTTCATCTTTTAACAGCAACTATATATAATGACAAATCTAGCCAGAAGTTAATTCTGTGATTTGATCATTGTAAATTCTAATGGATGGACTGTACCTAATCTCGTTACAACTTTTGTTCATAAAACCCCACAAAATGACCTCTGACCTTTTTAAGTTCAGACTGCGATGGCACAATGCATGTTTTATTCACTTCTTTTAATACAGATTACTGAGAAGAGTTTTAAATAGCATATTATGTAAAGTACAACTTACCAATAAGAGTACAAATCATTTCAAAACTTGAATAGAAATCAGACGCCACTGAGTCAGCCACAGGGATGTGAAGGACGGTCTGGTTCTCCTTTGTGGGTCTGGATCTAAAATTAAATAATTTCAGAACAAACTAAACACACGACACTCAGAGTTTTCTCTGATATTTCAAACACCCGGCCCCGTCTTACTCCAGAACGTCACTCTGTGTGATGCTGATGATAGCGCTGATTTTCAGGTCCTTGAGGATGCTGGAGTCCAAGCCTTGTTTCTCGTTACCCATGTACAGAAGTCCTGCCATGATCTCCACTGGATACATCTTCAGGTTTTCCAGCTCCTGAGACAGTACAGTAATACACTGAACAGCAATTTAAATAACACTTGTTGAAGATAATCCCTCTACCTGACAGGTGTGGCATAACAACATGCTGCTTGCACAGCATCATTACCACACAGGTGTGCCTTGGGATGGTCAAGGGGAAGTTTTGAGGGGCCATCAGCATGCTGACTGCAGGAATGTCCACCAGAGCTGTTGAGCGTGAATTGAATGTTCATTTCTCTACCATGAGAGAACTACAATGTTGTTTATGTGATTTCAGCAGCATTGCCCTACGTTTCTCCTCTCACCGGTCTCTTCCTGAATGGACCACAAGTGACACGCAAACATGTCAAGTTTGTAGAAAATATACTTTATTTTAAAATACAGTAAATTTCCGGCACAGAGCTTTTATTTTGAAACGTTGTTTCCTGCTGTAGAGTGAGTGACTAACGGAGAGCTGTTTGATAGAAACAGTAAACTAGCTTGACGACATGGCCAAACGCAAGTATGACGCTAAATGTATTAAACTCTGTGGACCTTAAAAGAAATGATGAAGGAGAAATCTGGACCTTGTGGCTGGACCAGTTGGGAACCACTGGTCTAGATTAATTCACAAAAGTGATAGAGCCTTTGCAGTCAGAGCACCATGACTTTGGAATGACCTGCCCAAGGAGATCAGGGCTCATCTTTTAAATCACCTCTACTACTTTTTAAAAATTGCCTTTTGGTGATTTTAACTGCTTTATTATTGTGTGTTTTACTCTGTTATGTGTATCTGTTTTATTGCTTTTGTTGCTAATGTTTAATCTTTTATTGGGTTTCATAAAGTACAAATGACTTGCGGCGGACATTGCCTTCGTATATGGGATGCCTGCTCTTCCCACTAAGCCACCGGCTGCCCCCTGGTGCACATTCCTTCAGTCAGCATGCCAATGGTACCGCCCTCAAAACTTGCAACTTCTGTGTCATTGTGTTGTGATCAAACTGCACATTTAGAGTGTCCTTTTATTGTGCACACCCCAAGACACACCTGTGTAGTAATGATGTTGTTTAATCAGCATCTTGATATGCTACACCTGTCAGGTGGCTGGAGAAGTGTTCACCAAGAGGCCGTTTACACGTTGCCGGCTATTTTCATAAACGGACATTTCACCGTCTCCGTTTTCAAAAAGATCTTCGTTTACACTTACCCGTGTATATATACACAAGAGCATGCCAAACCTGTTGGTGGCAGTGTATCGAGATGCTCAAGCCTTCCATTTATCCATTGTCACCATAGCAACATATGTCGCACTTTTTACACAGGCGCAAGTTCCGGCGCATACTGTGACGTGGGCTGCCTATAACTCCGTTTATCTGCGTTTATCTCAGTTTACATGCAAACGTGCAACCGGAGTTTTCCAAAATCTCCACTCTGGCCGGAGTTTTTAGAAAGACTCGTTTTCAGAGGAGAAATCTCCGTTTGTGTGTAAACGAAGGGCACAAACGAAGGAATATGTCTCCGTTTATCAAAATCACCGTGTACGTGTAAACGGCCTCCAACACTGATTTTTAACAAATTTGCAACCTAACTTTTAAAGAAATGTATCGATTGATTGCGTTAAAAAATAGTCTTAGATCTTTAACTTAAACTTGTGGAAAATGAGAGACAAAAGTGTTGTTTAAATTTGTGCTCAGTGTATTTCAAATTGTATATATATGCAGCTAACTGAGCCCTCAGGCGTATATGGTCTGTTCATCTTACCATGACGGTGTAGATTATTTTCTCAGTCCTTAAAAAAGGGTACAGAGCTGAGAACCTCTGAAAGCCTCCTCTCACTATGTGAACTGGACAGAGGCTCACTTCAGCTAAAGCCTGGGCACATTCAACTGCTCTGCCTGCAATCACAGTCAGATGCCAACTGGTAAACATCAATTAATACATTTGCGGCTGCAAACTTGGAGCATTGCTTAAAGGGAGCTTTAGCTTGTCATTGCTGGAGCAGCTCAGGGGAATTGTGGAAAATACAGACTTTAACACTTTACACGCCCCTGTGAAGAAATCATGTCCTGTATAGCCAGTTACCTTTTTCCTGTAAACAGCTTGTGTTGCTGTCATAGACCACCACATGCTGCATACTGTCGACCTCCACAGCCACAGGCAGTAGGAACGTGCTCTCTGAGTCCTGGAAAGAGTCACCCATGAATTTCTAATATTCAACACAACAGAAATAATCCTAGAAAATTAAGGAACTAAGAAATTTAGATGCACTGCAAGGCTTGTCTTACAGTTTGTTTCCAAAATGTAATGACAGTAGGAGTTTTCATAGATGTAAAAAAAAAAAAGAAGAAAAAAAAAGCATTTGATACAATTGACCATGGACTACTAACGAGCAAACTGGAACAATACAGGATTAGAGGAGTAGCCCACATATGGCTCAATAACTACCTTGAAAACTACACATCAATGTGTGCAAATAAACAACAATAAGTCTGACTTGTTGAGGGTTATATTTGTGGTTATATGTGGGGTCCCACAAGGATCAGTGCTGGGTCCAATATTGTTTATATTGCACATAAATGATATCTGTAATGTGTCCAAGTTGTTTAATTTTGTTTTGTTTGCTGATGATACGAATTTGTTTTGTTCTGGTGAAAACCTTGACCAGCTTCTGGATACAGTGGAAACAGAATTAAATATTTTAAAATGATGGTTCAACATTAACAAGTTGTCACTAAAAATAAATAAAACTATATATATAATATTAAGTCATAAAAAAATATAACCAAATACATATTATGACAGATAATATTGAAATGAAAAGAATATATGAGAACAATTTTTGGGAGTTGTCATAGATCACCAACTATGCTGGAAACAGCATGTTAATCATGTTAAAACCAAAATATCAGAGTCCATCGCAATATTGAACAAAACAAAAAAACATTGTTCTTGGGTTAAAAAACATACAAAACAATCACGAGTCTGATTTTCTTGCTTTAAAAGAGAGCCATCAGAATCATAAACAGTGCTGATTATTGCCAATCCACAAATAAATTATTCATAAATTCACGGGCAATCAAATTTAGCAAGGTTGTTAGTATGATGATGAACTGAGAGGAAACTGTATGTTCACAAAAACAAAAAGCAGAACAAATGTAAAACAAATATGTGCTTCAGTGTGTCGAATCAATTTGTGAAATGGTTTAGAACAGAAAGAAAGAAAGAAAGACGGCTGAAACAAAAGATTAAAAAAAATATTTAAATACAAGATGATCAACAAATATAAAACTGAAGTATGAACACCAGAGTGCACATGAAATGTGTTTAACACTTAATTTCTGTAACTTTCTTTTATTGCTCTATTTAAAAATAATGAATGTTAATCCCTCCCTCACTTCATGTTTATTTTTTGTCAATATACCAGTGTGTTTGAGTTTTATCATTTGGAAAATGATAGAAATAAACTAAACTAAACTAAACTAAAAACATCAGTCTCTCTTCTTGGATATTTTAATGCAGAACTCACAACATTTAACATCTAATGACACACAATGAGATAAAACTAACAAACTAATATACAGTCTATGGATAAGTATCCCATAAAACCCCACTTTAAAAAATCTGAACTATCCCTTTACATAGATCCTGCTAAGACACATCACAAAACTGTGGACACAATAACATCCGCACCATTTTGACATTTTTAGCAGTTATGATGTGACTCGTTCTGTAATCTTGAGTTTCACGAGCATCTAGAAAAGAAACACATAATATATAAAACTAAAGTTAAATTGAATAAAAGCGAAGCAATCAAACAAATCCAAGTCAAGTGATAACACAGGCTCCAACATTAACAACACAGCTAACTTTATATCTCATCTCTTACCAGTCAAACAAAGGTAGTTGATCTCTGCCAGCCTTGACACACGGCTGCACTGGTTGAGGAGATTGTAGAGCTCAAATGGCTCACACATCATAATGTCAGCCATACAGGAAGACACAGTTAGTCAGACACATAGAGTATATCAAGAGTAGAGTGAACTTATAATGAGCTTGACCTGAAGGAAAAATATAACAGCCTACAAATCCTGTCCAACTAGCTCAGATGTTTTCAAGGGGAACAGTTGTTTGCTTGTTGCTAAGTAACTCAACATCTCCCCTCATTGGTGGTTGGTGATGATGTAAAGCCTTAAAGTCACAAGTGTCCATTTCTTGACCATGTAAATGACTGTTAATCCAAATATGTAGATTATTCTATTTTATTGTCCTTGTGAATAAATACAACGAAATGAAATGCACAGAATAAAACAGAACTAATAAAAGCAATAAATAATAAAGGCGGGGGATAAGACACATGCATGCACGCATACGCACAAACAAGCAGTCTCAAAATAAGTATAAATAAAGGTTAAAGTTATATTTATTGTCTCATTTCAGCAGTCACGTTCAGTCTGACCTGCTCCTCAAGCAACAAGCAAACAAGTTATTTCAACCTACTTTGTTCCTCTTTCTCTTGTTTATGTGACTCAGGGGTGAGAACTGGGACCATTTCAGATGGTCCTCTTTACCAGTTTGACACAAAGGGCAAAGCAGAGACAAGGTTTCTAAATAATAACAACTAGTCCATACCTGGGGATGTGTTATGTATAGAGGAATAAAAAATCAATCAGAGCACTGTAAATGCACTATGTAATAAATATTAATGTAAGACAAACAATGCACACTGTATTTAGAAACATGCTTTATGGTAAAATACATGGAGCATAGTTTTGGCTGACGGCATGGAGGCACGTGCGTGCACGGGCTGTGTCAAACCAATGCACACTGTATTTAGAAACATGCTTTATGGCAAAACACAGCATAGTTTTGGCTGATGGCACGGAGGCACACGCGTGCGCGGGACTGTGCGCAAGCACACAGGTACACACATACACACGCAACACGGAGAAAGAATTAAAGAAACAGTGCAAAGTGCACAGCACAATGTTCAGTTTGTAATGTTTGTAGGCCAATGTCAGTAAAGTGAAAATACGTAATGGCTGGCTCACGCACACAGACACAGACGTGCGTTCATTCAGTAAAATAATTACCTTAGTCTTGTGTTGGTGCTTGCAGTTGCATGTCCCAGCCATAAACTGTGGTCTGAGCGCAGGTGTTCTCTGCGCATGCGCAGCTCGCACTGCTAATGGTGCTGACAGTATGAATGGGTAGTGGAAATAAACGCGAATATAAACAGTAGAAATGTGGGGAAAAAGGCAAAAACGGCATCGTGGCTGTCTGCACATGACCAAGATGAAAGCCTATGTGCAAGTTCAGAGAAACAGGTCAAAGCAGTGAGGAGGAAAACAGATGATGACAGATGGATGCAGCGTCAGACACTGACCAAAAAAGCCGTCCTTTAACGCTGACATGATACGCAGCTGGTTGCCGTTATAGTTTAACGGCACCACGAGCGTCAGGGGGAAACAAGGCAGGACATGAACAAAAGTTAAGCCAGTTAAAAGTTCCAAGTACAGCGGATGGAAGTGGTGATGGATGGGACCAACAAACTCCAACTTTCACCCGGGAGAGCGGAGTTCGCGTCCCGAAAGATTATAAAGCCAAACCTTGTCCTTTTTTCCGAAACCCAACTATGTACTTTACTTGTTGGAGGAAAAAAGGCAATTCGCATTGTTACACTAACATGGCGTGTTTATTTTGAAAGAGACTGCATGTAACAGGCAGAACTTGACATGCCGTCCCAGAACGTCAATAACCAACGTACCCAGGGTACCTCGCACATTGTAACTGGATGTGGAAGGTCCATGACCAAACATTAATGTGACGAGGTCGGAGTGAGAATGTGTTGCAACAGCAGGAAGTGTTGTTGACTCACAACATATTTGCAGTAGACCATGTCTTTTGCAATGTGTTTGATGGCACCTACACCTACAAGACACAAACAGCACTTTGGTTAGCAACATCTGATGATACTCTGTGTGTGTGTGTGTGTGTGTGTGTATGAGAATGTGTTACTTACAGGTAAATGATCTGCCTTCCAATATCCAGCAAAGACCGATCCACATCCTCCTTCTCCAAGCATATTTTCTTCTTGATATTTGGCCTCAAGTTCAGCTGAAAAGACACACACATATATTTTGATTTAATACATTTGTGAAAAACGTCCATTTACACTTAACGTTAAGCCAGAGTCACGATCTACTGACCTCTTAGGGCTTCAACCAACAAATCCTCCCTGGTCTCGTCCTTTGTCTCTTCTTTGAGGTCTTGGCTCCTCGTCTTCTTCAACACTGGTGCTTCTCCATCAGCAGAGGCCTTCCTCTTTACGCCTTTCTTCCTCACATCCTCCACAGAGATGTTGCTGCTTTCTACAGACGAGAAAAAACACACACAAGAACATCAGCTTGTTGACAGTGACAGACACTAACGTGGACAAACAGTCCTCTAAACTAAAGGACTGAACAGGCTGTCATTATTCCAGAGTTACTGGTACATTACTGGAGAATGGGAATGTGCCCTGCCACTGCTTTTCTGCTGAAGAGAAACACTGTGTGGACACAGGCCCTACGTCCAAGTGAACATTTGTGCCAAAGTCGGAATAATTCTCTCAAGGCATTCTTGAGATATCCCATTCATGAAATGAGACGTACACAAGGTCACATGGACCTTGACGTTTTTACCACTAAAACATGATCAGTTCATGGTTGAGTCCAAGTGGACATTTGTGCGAAATTTGAAGAAATTCCCTCAAGGTGTTCATGAGATATTGCATTCACGAGAATGGGACGGATGGACAGCCAAAAACTTAATGCCTCAGCCCACAGCTGTCGCCAGCCCTGAGACGTAAAAATAAGCCAGCTGCAGATGACATTTTAAATGCAGGACTAACATTTCTACACTGTGGTGTTGCTGGTCTGAGTGCTGCTTCCACCACTGTCTGAACCTGGTGCTCAGTAAACTGATGGTGTTATACACTCCCAAAAGTAGTTTCAAACGATCAGCCTACCTGTGTCCACGTCTGTTGAGGACGATGCCACCTCCTGGTCACATCTGAGAAGGTCCAGTCTTCTTTTCTTAGCCTTCCTCTTAACAAGTCCGTCCCCATCATTTCTGACCTTCCTCTTCACTATAACACTGACATCCTCCTCAGATGTACACGGGCTGTCTGTTTCTGAGATCCTCATCTTCTTCCTGAGGGTCATTATATGGGGAGTTGCCTTCCTTTCAAGGCCATCACTTCCAGACGATGTACTTTCCTCAGACATGGTGCTGCTGAATTCTGCAAATGAGAAAAAACACAGTTGATCAGTTTGTTGTGAATAATTTTCACTAACTGCATGAAAAGATGTACAGACTCAGATCACAGTGAGAAAAATGGCTCAATAGCAGGAATCAGAGGTCGATGTTTCAGGTACTAACTCTTAATTAGTGCCGACTCTACCTGATAAGTCACATGGATCATTAAAGGAATAGTCGTATGCTCTTATCTTCTCAAACACATGAATTTTCGCTTAAAAACCTTCAGTACTGGAGTCTGGTTTTAAGGAGAGCACAAATGAGTTTCACTTTTCAGTTCAATTTTAAATAGTAAGGTTGTGGATGAGGGACCCACTTTTGAAAATGTTGTCCCCCTGCCCATATTCTGTATGTGAAACGGTGAAAAACAGAAACAAGACCAGCATCAGATGGACTGTATTCAGAGATAATAATAGAAATAATAGATAGGTTGACCAATTAACTGTTCAATGAGAATGTGTGTGTGGGCGGGGCATAAGTACATACAGCGAGCAGCAGCAGCGGATGGAAACAAAGGGCTTGGCAGGGACAGAGCACCTGCTGCAGCAAGCCAACACGCCGTCTGTGGTCATTTTGGCTTGACCAGCGGACTTCATTACAAGCTGATTGGCTGCTGAAACAGGTGACGTGCTTTAAAAACCAACTGCCACTTATTTGACCAGCTGAGTTGCAGGTGACACCATCAGCCAGCTTGAGTTGAGCTCAGACCGTCCAGTTCACATCACTGCAACTTTTCTCTGCAACGTTCGAAAATGGTTTTGTCTTGTCGCGAATCTTTGGTCTGAATTGGGCTTTAAACGTTTATTTTCCCTAGAGGATGATTGCTAATAACCTTGGTGACCCCCATGACCTTTCCACTAACAGTGGGACAAAATTTCCCTTTGAGAAACTCTTGAGTCCAGGACACTTTGTCTTGAAAACTAGTATAACTAGATATTCATGGTCCCAGAAAATTAATCCACATATCGACAACATTAGACCAAACTATCAGTTTGTACACGGCAAATATAAAAAGTCTTATGCGCTGATTATATTAACTGAGTACATTTATATTTCCAAGACGATACACTTGTTTTCTATGCAGCTCCATCACTGTTAAAACTGAAAGACAAGCAAGTTTAAACAACACTGACACACTCATGATGAGGCATGATGAACACTGACGCTTCTGTTCAGTTTATGAAAATATCAGTTATTGTTGCAATAAAAACATTAAGCTTACTGAGCGTACAAAACGGACATCCAGACACACACACACACACAGACTTTTGTCCTGCTTCTACATTGGCTTTTGAGAACAACATGTACTCAGTCCCAGCTGAGCCTGAAAGAATGACTGTGTTCTCCGTCCTGCCCAGAGTCGCAAATCATGCTGCTTGTCTGGGAGGAAAACAAAGCTTGAGACCCAAGATGAAGGCAGAGACGGAGGCTCCTTCTAAGGCTAAAATAATTTCTCAGATTTTATTGCTCGTGTGTCTCGGTTCCTTCAATTCAGGTACGTTGCATTCTTTGAATTTGCTTTAAAATTAGCTGATATAAATAGATCTCATAGGTTTGCCTCGCAACAGTCTGATTTTTCACTGAAATGTTTATGCATTGTGTCTGAAGGATTTTGTTAAGATTTAGTTCATATTGGAGCAAACAAAAGCTGATTATTGAAATTTGTTTTTTAATTTAGTTGTTTGTTGGTGTCAGAACAAGGGAATCAGTTGCAGATATGATTTTCCAAATGCAGCGTTGCTTGACTAACTTGCTGGATGAAACTATTGGAGAGTCCTCCCAGTAGATACTCACATTTCCAGAAATTTTTACCATGCTTTCACAGTA